GAAAATTTAATAATGGGGACAGAAAGTGGCATAGTGCTAGCACAACGGGCTCTACATGGGAAGGTCCCAGCTTCACATCCTGGGGTCTCCTTGTACACATCAGGCACATGCCTATGATTCAGGTTGCCTGAGGTTGGGGGTGGATCTTAGCACAAGGACCCTGCTGGGGATGCCTCTCTCTCTCTCTGTCTCTCTCTCTCTGTCTCTCTCTCTCTCTGTCACTCTTATGGATGAAATAGATAAACTGTTTAAAAACTTTTACAAATTAATAATGGAGTTCACTAGACCAAATTCTAATTTGAAGTATAGGGAAAAGTTATAAGTTTTTCTTTTAACCAATAGATAAAACACAATTAAAGTTTAATTAATTTCTTTTTTACGTTTGCATGTATAGACTTTGGGGATTCAAATAGTAGTGTATCATTTCATCTCAACAGGTCAACCCAACGTTATAGCCTTAAAAATATAGTGAGGGCAATACGGTTGCTGAGAGAAAAGAAAAAGAATCGTTTGGAAAATCAGAAGTTTATAAGTCTCATGACGCTTATCTGCTCAGCTATTAATTTAACTTGAAAACTCTCAAGCACCTGAGAATCAAGAAGAGATTAGAAATTATATCCCCATCCTTTCTTCATATTGTAACCTTCATCATGGTATCAGTTTACAGTGAAACTAAAACAATCTAATGAGATTAAACATAAAAAAGAAATAAAGGTCCCTGGATTAGAATATTAATGGTTTATATAGTGAGAAAAACCTACCTCTGCTGTTGACTTTCTGTTCATGAGACCATGTGTGCCTATTTAAGTGTCTAAAGTAATCCACATTATTCATGCCACACTTCTCAGTTCATTCATATTAGACACTTTCCCATATTATAAAATGTATTTCTTATTGTAGGACCACACATAGAGTTTAAGACCTCTGGTAAATATTTTTATACATGACTAAAATACTTTTCCATAATCATCTGTAGGATTCATTCCACAAGAATTTTCTAATATTTTACTTCATATCACAGTAACAGATTCTTAATACAATCTATTCTCTAAGGTAATTCATAGTAACTATCTTGTTTCTGATCAATAAAATACAGGATGCCTTGGAGATGTTACAGGCTCAGTTCCAGACCATCACAATAAAATGAATATTTCAATAAAGCAAGTCACATGAAATTTTTGGTTTCCCAGTGCATGTAACAGATATGTTGTCTAGTACGTGTGCAGTAACATTATGTCTGAAAAAAGGTACATTTTCTTTTTTAAAGTTTTTACTATAGGGTGCATGTGCTCACTGGACAGAGAGAGAGACAGAAGGAAAGTGAGGGATGGCAATCACTCTGCAATCACTTCCCTTCCATTCTCTTCCTGGGATTTTGGGCATGCACACACATGTGCCTGAAGTCACCAGGTCTGGGACTCAAACCACAGTTGACCATGTGGGAATCCAGAACCTTAACCACCATGCCACCTGTTGGTCCCCAAAATGTACATATCTTAATTTAAAAATATTTTGTTACTAGAAGTGCCATTGATCACCTAAACCTTTGGTGAATTGTAATCTGTTTGCCAGTGAAGAGTTTTGCCTTGATCTTGAAGGCTACTGACTGATAAGGGTGAGGGTTACTGAAGGCTTGAGTGGCTGTGGCAATTTTAAAAAATAAGACAACAGTGAAGTTTGTCATACTGATTGATTCTTCCTTTCTGTGCCATGTGATGCTGTTTGATAGCATTTTATCCACAGTAGATTTTCTTTTGAAATTTGAATCAATATTCTCAAACTCTGCTGCTGCTTTATCAACTAAGTTTAAGCAATATTCTAAATTCTCTGTTGTTTCATCAGTATTCAAGCATCTTCACCAAGAGTAGATTCTATCTCAAAAAAGTACTTGCTTTGCTCATCCCTAAAGAATCAACTCTTCATCTATTCAGATTTTATCATAAGATTGCAGCCATTCAGTCACATCTCAGACTCCACTTCTCATTCTAGTTATCTTGCTATTTCTACCACATCTGCATTTACTTCCTCCACTGAAGTCTTGCATTCGTTGGGATTATCTATGAAGGCTGCAAGCAACATTTTCTAAATTCCTGTTAATGTTGACATTTTGAGCTCCTCCCATAAATTCTGAATGTTCATAATAACATCTAGAATAGTGAACTCTTTTCAGGAGTTTTTTGATTTACTTTGTCCAGATGTATCTGAAAATTTAGTATCTATGGCAACTATTGACTTGTAAAATATATTTCTTACATAATAAGACTTGAAAGTTGAAATTACTCCTTGATTCACAGGCTGGAGGATGGCCACTGTGTTAGCAGACATGAAAACAACATAAATCTCCTTGTATGTCTTCATTAGATCTATTGAGTGACCAAGGAAATTGTCAATAAACAATATTTGGAACAAATTTTTTTTCTGAGCAGTAGATCTCAACAGGGGGCTTGAAATATTCAGTAAATCACAATATAAACAAATGTGTTACCATCTGGGATTTGTTCTATTTACAGAGTACAGGCCAAATTAATTTAGCATGATTTTTTTTAAGATTATTTTTGCCAGAGGACATGTATGCTCACTGGAGACAAAAAGACAGAGAGAGGGAAAGTGAGAAACCATACTCCAGGGAGAATTGTTCATGCCACGATCCCTTCTCCATTCTCCTCTTGGGGTTTTGGACACACACATACATATGCATTCAGCATTTTTTTCAAGCCACTGGGTCTAAGACTGGAACCACAGCTACCCATGTGGCAGTCTAGTGCCTTAATCACTATGCCACCTGCTGGTCCTGGAATGGTAAGTGAGCATTAGCTTCAACATAAAGTCACCAAATGCATTAGGCTTTACAAAGAAAGTCACTCAGCCCAGCAGGTGTCATGATAGTTAAGACAATGGATTCTCCTGTGGTTTGAGTCCCAGACCTGGCAGCTTGAGGAGAATGAATTGCAGCATAGCCATTCCCTATGGGGGTAATTTCTCACTCTCCCTTTTTCTGTCTCTCTGTGATGAGTGCATACACTCTATGGTAATGACCTAAAAACAACCAACCAAAAAACAAAGTGTTACTCTATCCTTTGAAGATTTGTAGTCAGGTATGACTTCTCTTGACCTATGAAAGCCCTCACACTTTTTCTAATATAAAGCTGTTTCAGCTACAATGAGAATCTGTTGTTTAGGGTAGACTCCTTCATAAATTATCTTAGTTAGTCTTCAGGACAACTACCTGCAGCTTGTACATCAGTGCTAGTTGTTTCACTTTGCACTTTTATGTCCCAGAGATGACTTCTTTCCTTTTACCTCATGAACCAGTCTCTGTTAGTGTTACATTTTTCTCCTGCAGCTTCCTAGCTTCTCTTGGCCTTCAATTCAAGAGTTAGGATGTTGGTCTGGGTTAAGCTTTGGTCTGAGAGACTATTGTGTCTGGTTCAATCTTCTATCCAGACCACTAAAGACTTTCTCCAACAACAATGATAAGACTATGTTTTCTTATCTCTCATGTGTCTATTGAAGTATCACTTTTCGTTTCTTTCAAGAATTTTCCTTTGCATCCCCAACCTGCCTAACCATTAAACTAGTAAAGTTTCAGAAAAGTCCCATAGTAAAGAAACCTACATAACTTTAACCCAATGCTTCATAAACCTGTTTGATCCTACTTTACCTTTTTATTTTAAGTACGTCTATTAATATCTTGCTGATGCCAATATTTAGACCAATATGAAATTCTCTTTTGAGTGATAATTCTTTAATTAGAGATGTATTGGGGCAGTCAATGGTATGGTTGCTATGGTGTCTGGAACCTATGTCACAGACTGCATGGCTTGAGTCCTGGACCTGTTGGCTTGAAAAATGTGCTGGCACTTATGAGTGTGTGCCCCAAATTCCCAAAGAATAAATAGAAGAGAAGGAGGCATGGTGCTGTCATTCCTCATGCTTTCTCACTTTCCCTGTATCTCTCTGGTGAGCACACATTCCCTCTAATAATTATATATATATAAATTAGAAATACATATTTTCTTGAAAAATAAAAATTTGAAGTAAGGGTACTCATGAAATATTTTGAAGCTCTTAAGAAGAGATGAAGTTGTGACAATGATGAGGACAGTGGGATTACTGTGTCTGGCCATACAATTAAACAAAAAGACAAAACAGAGCATCCATCCTATCTAGTTGGTCATATCTCTCTTTCACTAACCTTCTGTACTTCAATGATTCAAGTGATATAAATTTTCTTGATATGCTCTATTTGCGATTACATTTTCTTGGTGGCTTAGTAGATGCATGGTAAGAATACCAATGGTCATTTCCCTGAAATCTCCTGTAGTATGGGTATACAGTGTGAGAAAATGTAGAAGGTTTCACAAATCCTTTAAAAGGCCAACACAGAGGAGAGTACTACTGTAAAGAACAAGGTAACATTCACCTTTCTTCAAAAGCAACAAGATTAAATTAATTCATATGCACCGTTTCACAAGAAATACTACAGACTTGAGGAATGATTAAGGTATGAGAAGCAAGTGAGAAATATGTTTATACAAAGCAAATTGCATTTCATTTATTCAGTATTTCTTCTGTAAAATTGTTTCATAAGCTTTCCTCTCATTCTACTAAGAAAATTCTACTGATTCTAATTTAAAAAATTGAAAGTAGACCCAGGGATAAATCCAAGAAAAACAGTAGATTTTAGAGGGGAAATGTGAAACCAATTTCATAACTAAGTGTGAGTACTAAGACATTGTTTAGAATATTAACCACAGTAAATCCACTGACACAATGAATATAAGGAGTAGTCACCACACTATTAAAAATACAACAAACTAAACAGTCCGTTCATGATGCGGTGCTATAGATACCTGGTTGGAACTCACTCTTCTGAAATGAGACCATGGTTTAGATTTAAAGGCATCTGATTTCTTGCAAAAATTGTCAGCTGGCATTTTTCACCTGGGTTAAGAAAGCATTCTCAAGCCGAGCCAAGTACAAATGTAAACTTCTCCTACCTGCACAAAACCGCATGCTGTGAAGTCATCAAACAGGGGCAGACTTGGGCGGTCTTCTCTATAGATGGTGAGTTTGTACAGGATCAAGGTCTCACCCTGGAATGGTGATTCATCCACCACAAACACTGAGATCTTGTTCATTCCTAAGCCCAGAGGATAGTTGGAAAAACTGGAGGGAAAGAAAGAGTATGTGAATATGAACAGGGAATATTTATTCAGCCCAAATTGATTCATATATCAATATTTATTACATGCTTTTTTACATAAAACAGGTAAGGTCTGTATAATTTCATAAGAAATCTAAAATAAAAAAGTCATCTTAGAGTGAATCATGTCCTTTACTAACTAAAGGGAAGAAAATTCATATTGATTAAGTACTGTCAGGATCATACATTATCTCATTTTTTACTGAGTGTATTTATTATTATTACTTTTTAAGTTGACCAGAGAGAGAGAGAGAAAGCGCAAAAGGAAGCTGCCAGGTTGGGGACTTGAGCTGCAGTCAGCTATGTGGGAGTCCAGCACCTTAATCACCATGACACCCACCAGCACCCATTATCTTATTTAATCCTCACAACTCTTTACAAAAACTATGATTGTCCTCACTGTAAAGATAGAGACCATGACACAAAACCCGATAAACAAATTGCCCTAAGTTAGATGGTAGAGTCCGGGTTAGGCCCCATGCTATCTGATTTGAATTCCCTTTTCTTTTTACTAGATGAGGCTCCCACAGATGCCAGATATACTTCTTTCTCTACAGCTTGAAATCAGGAGTGTCTTTGTTGCTATGGACATACCATCTAATAAAGTTCTATCTTCTGTTTATAATTACAAACAAGAGAACTGGAAAATTTCAAGAGTCAATAGAAAAAAAAAATCCCAGTGAGACTAGGGAAGTTCATCCTATATCCACAAATTGTCACCAATATGTTCAAGCAATTGACTCCTTAAAGTTCAAAGACGTGACAAGTTGGGTTGGGGCAGAAGGAGGTTACCATTCCAAAGGATTAACTCTAACAATCTGAAGACATGAAAATGACAATAAGATTTTTTTTTTGTAATGGTCCTCTTAACATTATATAATAAGATCCTCTCTTGCTACAACATCATTACAAAGATCAGTTACTAAAATTGCAGACAGATCAATAGAACACGTAATGTGTTGTTTTTAACCACGTAATACCCAAAGAGGGGAAAGATTTCACACCTTGACAATCTCTTCAAATGACCTGTGCCCAGCTTTTCTGAACCTCTTTCAAAGGTTGCAGCAAACGCCTGTTTCCCAGTGTGATGTCCCAACAAAACCCAGGCAGCATCCTCATACCTCGGCCCCGCCTGCTCATGCAGGTGCACCTTGCACTGACACTTCGAAGTCTCGGCTCCAATTGTCACTGTGACCACATCAAAAGGGACTTCAGAGTAATAGTCTTTGATTTGTGGATGAAATTCTGGATTTAGTTCCAAATGTGGATGTGTGAAGATCTCCTTGATATAACATAGAGTGTTTTTATCTGTTAAAAAAAATCATGACAAAAATGGTAATAGTGAAATAGATAAATATTTTAAAATCATGGATGATGAAGGCTTCCTTTTTCTAATCCCTTTGCACAGTTTCAGTGACCCTTGTTGACGATCCATTCAGTACCCTGATCATAGCTGAATTGTGGTGTCAGATGGAGTTTCAATTTGTCAAATTTTGTAGAATTTGCCTCATATCACAGCTGTTGCCTCTAGTTGGTATTATACAGATGATGGTATTTTTCCTCAGCCTTTGAAAGTTTAAAGTCACATAAGGTGGGAAAAATGTCTCTCCTGTGAATTGGTAACATTTTCATGATCCTTATTGCATATATCAAGTAATTATGTAAACAGGAGTGACAGAAGGGGACCAGCGGAGAAAGAGGAAGATTTCTTAAGGAGAGCATCATTAAACTGCCACTAGATTGATAGAGGACCTTATAGTGCAGGACAAAGAGTGTGAAACATACCAAGGTTATACCAAACACTCAACTACAGAGGTGCTTTTGTATCTGAGTGTTTTTCTGAGACCCCTTCCTACCCAGACCACCTCAATCTGGGAACGCACCATAAAGTACATGAAAGGAAATCATTCTGCTCAATTCTGGTATTGAACTTTAGAATAATACTCTATAGTATTGAATCCAAGGCATTGGAAATGAACTATCTTCGATAGCCCAACTTCCACAGCAGTATCTTGGTGAGAGAAAAAAAATAGCTTATATAAGCAGATAGACCAGCCACTGTTAAATTATATCAATGTTTCAAATTAAACAAATTACCCAAAAGTTTAGCAAAATGGTTTACAACAAAATATCATGTTTTGTTCCACCAATACTTATTAATAGTTCACAAATTCCAGCAAAGGTATAGAAGATGCTGTAGCAATCAGTAAAATAAAGAATCCTTGCACTACCTTTACATAAAATATTTAGATGTTTCACCTTGTAGCCACGGAAAAGATAACACAGAATTTTGCTACAGGGAACTATAAAACTGATCTTAGAAAGGAGATTATTTTGGTTATGTAATGGTTACGTCTTTAGACTCCCATGTAGTAGACTGCGGTTCGAGTCCTGGATCTGGCAGTTTAAGCTCATGCTAGGCACGTGTGCGTGCGTGCCCACTATCCCAAGAGGAGAATGAAGGAGCATGGATTGCGGAGTGACCATCCCCCTGGGGGGTGATTTCTCACTTTCTATCTCTCTGTCTCTGTCTCTCTAGCAAGTACACATACCCTAAAGCAAAAATCTCTCTTAAAAAATAAAAAGAAAGGAGATTATCTTGTTAACTGCTGTGTCTTTTTCTCTACATTTATAAAGTTATCACAATGGTTTTGCTAAATCAAATTTGACAATTTATCTTCAATTCCATAATGGTTTCTTATCCAGAGTCAAATCCTAGTTCCTAACAAGTCAGATTATACCTTGTTTTGCTCTTCAGGTAGAGTACCCATCATGTCCCCAACTTTGTGCTCCAAGATAGAAATTTTTATATATCTTTGATGGGCATGGCAACATACTATCAAATCCTTAGCAATGGCTACCACCAGCCATAGGGATGCTTCAAAATCTGGCTCTGAGTCCTAGGTCTCACTCTAGCTCCCGGCATGTGTGGAAACAACTAACATGAAAAAATATGTGCATTTCTGACCCACCTTCTGTGATTTTCTAAGAAACAAATAAAAAAAAACTATTTAGGTATAAATTAAGAACAGTAGTGATGTAATAGATATATTGTCATGTTGTTTAAGGAACAGGTAGAGTACCCATCATGTCCCCAACTTTGTGCTCCAAGATAGAAATTTTTATATATCTTTGATGGGCATGGCAACATACTATCAAATCCTTAGCAATGGCTACCACCAGCCATAGGGATGCTTCAAAATCTGGCTCTGAGTCCTAGGTCTCACTCTAGCTCCCGGCATGTGTGGAAAAACTAACAATGAAAAATATGTGGCATTCTGACCCACCTTCTGTGATTTTCTAAGAAACAAATAAAAAAAAACTATTTAGGTATAAATTAAGAACAGTAGTGATGTAATAGATATATTGTCATGTTGTTTAAGGAAAAAGCCCTACTTTAAAAAAAGAGAGCTAGTCAATTGGGTACACATAATAAATTAGACATTTGATTAGTAGTATTCGTTATCTAACCAAACTGACAACCAAAATTGAGTGATACATGTAGGTGGGCTGCATCTGTCATTTCAATGACGATGCTTGCTCCTAAAATGTTCTTACAATAAAAAAGAAAAAATCCAAGCATGAGGGTGGAGACTGTATCATTAGAACGAATTCTAAAAGGGCCATAGCATTTCATTTAAATTTAGCTGCTTAGTAGCAATGTACTTATTTTTTATCAAGCTCCCCCCCCCAGCATTTTCCATATTTGAGGCACTGAGATGAGCACAGTAAAAATAATATTATTTATTAATCATGATATTTTATTCCCCTGATGTTGTGACAAAACATAACACTAAACAACTTGCAATTGGGATATGGAGTGTCCTTTTGAAAGTACCATTGCCTAGGGACAAGTGAATATAAATATTTGTTCTATACTTTTATACTCAAAACCTACAAGGTGGGAGGGTTTTTTCCCCAAAAAATAAAACATAGGAGATGTACTTTATCTTAATAGGGCAGATCTCATAAAGATTCATTAAGTTAACTTCCATATAGTTTACACTTTTCACTTCATATGACTTAGCCACATTTTCAGTGGGGTTTGTCCCCACTGTAAACTGAAAAACTCAGGCCTATTTTAGATGAAGTCAATGTGCAATCATGCTCTTAGCAAGATTTTAGCATGTGCTTAGTTTGGGTTTCATCAGAAATTCTCCACCTCTGGCTTGAATGCTAGATCCCAGACCCCAGTTTGGAAGCTGAGTTGGTTCTGACATCTCCTTTGACTGAATCATCGAGGTTGCCGCCTACGAACACCTGGTGCTTCTTTGGCATCTTTCCCAGCCCAGTCCTAACTTGTCTCGGACCAGCTTACCGTAGATCTGTGGAGAAGCCAGTGTGAGCTATGGTGGTAGCAGGCTGCTTTACCTCTCTGGCAAGTGTACGTGGGAAAGCTGTTTGAAGTCCTGGTTGCATTTAATGGATTTCTTTTAACCGCAGATTTAGATTGCCCTCTTGAGGGATAACCATAACTCATATTAAACACAAGAACAGCCTAGACGCTTAGAGATAATCCTGCCTGTTCTGAGACATCATTGAGCTATTTTTTAAATCCTGTATCATGCCATAAAAGTTGGAAGATTATGAGGATCCAGGTAGTACTAGTTTTTATCAATATAAAAACAGGAGCAATGTGGAAGAGCTTATTTAACATATTCACGTTGTCTACTCTAGGGACTCAGAAAAAAATGAGATTATTCAGCGCAATCCTTTAATTTTTACAAATGAGAAAACAGAAGCCCAAAGAGGGGAACTGGCTTTTCTGATGCTGCAGCTAGCCCAGGAACAGACACAGAGCAAACCCTCAACCAATGTTTATTCTAACTTAGCTCCTAGTTTTTTCACTCATCTTTCTCTCATCACTCTCTAGGCAACGGTCTCCCGGAAGAGAAGAGCAGCAGGTACTTTTCTAGAAGTGGGAGATTGGGCATGAATATGGAGAGGAAACAGTAATGATTTATCTTTTCTCTATTAGCAATTTTGGTTTAAATGCTATTTTCTTTAATTAGATATATTTGTTGATTTGATTCAACTATAGTATTACATTACTTCTTTGTACTGATTTGAATAATAGTTTAAAAACATCGTGAATGAATTAAATTGCATTTTAGAAGCCACAGATTAGATTTTACTGAATCAGAAGACTTCTATTTCTGATAAATCAAACCTAAGTCTATGCATTTGATTTTTTAGCTTTCATATTTTACTAGAATTAATTTTTTATGTGTGAAACTAAATTTTCTAAGTGCATGTTTTGGCATCAAATATATACATTTTATATATATATATATATATTTACATATGTGTGTGTGTGTACTTAAAATGTATCTGTATCTCTCAAAATATATCTCTTAATTACAGATATATTTAAAAAGATACATATTTTGTCACAAAAAGTGAAAAACAATTACTATGTAGATCTCTTACTTTTTTCACCTTAGAGGTTATTTAAAAAATTCAGGAATGTTGAACAAAGAACATGATCCAGCTTAGGTGTTTAATAACTCTTTAATACCCGTGTGACCTTGGAAAGTCAGTGAGATTCTTGAGGATGACATATTTGCAAAATCACTGTTATAATACTGAATAAGAAAAAGAAAATAATTCTTAAATTAAAACTTTATGTTAACTTAAAATGCATTTTTCCCTTAATTATGCCTTGGTTTAAACAAAATAAATAAATGTGGACCAACTGCGGCACCATGGAACACTGTGGTAAAACAATGCTCCTTAATGCTGAGTGCACATGCAAAGGGCCTGGTTTTGCACCCCAAGATCTCCTTGTACATGCTAAGTGTATGCATGACTATAATAGTGACTGGCTGAGGCTGGTGGTGGATCTAGGTATGAACACCCAGTTAAGACTACTTGTCTCTTTCTCTTTCATGGAAGAAATAGATGAGTAAATTTTAAAATTGATGAATTTTAATAAAATAGATTGAAAATTGGCTTAAAAACTCTTGTATATGTTAAACAAAATTCTACACAAGTACTATCCATTTTAGAAAACTTCTTGCAGGAAAGAAATCACTGTGGGGTAGTGAGACCTGTAGAGACCACAGCATAAAGCAGATGAGTCAAGCTCTTCCACTGTGGGACCTCCAAGACAAGGTCTTAGAAGCCCTTGGGCCCTTCAAAATGAGTTTGGAAGTCACTGTCCTTAGAAAAACAAATAGAAACTTAAAATGTTCTCGGGCCAGTCCCATGGCTTAGAGGTTAAAGGAACCAGATCCCACATGGCCATTTGCAGTTCAAGTCCCAGCCTGGCAACTCAAAAAAAAGGAGTGTGTGCACACCAAAAATCTTGACAGGATGGAGAAATGGAGCATAAATGACTGCAGTGTGATCAAGCCCCATTGGTGGGGGGGTGATTGCTCTCTTTTTCTTTCTCTGTTTCTCTATGCTGAATGCACACAACCCTCTGGAAATTAAAAAAAAAAAAGAAGCTATAAGATGTTCTTTCTATGTAAAAATGACACATATTGACACAATTAAAATATAATCATTTCTGAAAATTCACTTACATTAGCATCCTAAAGATGCTCAAATATGATAATTTTTTTTTTCAAAGCAAGACCTGTGCCCAACTATTGGTTAATATTGCTGATTATTTTATCTCAACTCACCATTACTGCAGTGCATTTGTTTATTTCCATTCACTATTTGTGGAACTGCATGTAAAAAAAAGAAATGCAATTTTCAAACAAAAAACATTCATCAAAATTTAAAAATACATAGTTATCACAGAGAATAATGGAATGAAACATGTTTTACTGTTTAACTTTTAGTACACTAGTGGGCACTTCTAAGTAAAACTGAAAAAATTTACAACAGAACAAAAGCTATTTGATTCAAAGCTCAGAAAAATGATTATTTCCAGTGGAAAAATATTAGGAAGGAAAATGAATGGTCTAAAAGCTATTCTCTTCCCAGAGGCAATCTATAAGAGAGGCTTTCTAGTTCTACGGTCCTGGCTATAATTTCTCAAATGATTAGGATTATGGAAATTCTGTCCAGTTGGTTTTACTGATACATATTCTAAGTTTCTGAATTTAACCAAATGTTTCTCTAAAAAAAGACTTCTTGGGGCCGGCAAGTGGCGTGGCAGTTAAGACACTGAACTCTCACATGGCTGACTATGGTTCAAATCCTGGACGTGGTGGCTTGCTTTATCACGTCCAGCTGCCTTGACTTCCATGCCAACTGTGGGCCCACTCTCTTCACTAATGACAGAACCTCAGAGAACATAGAGATAAGCCAAAGAGAAAAAATAAAAATCATCATTAACTTTCCTTGAGGTTCATATTGCTAGTGACCAATAATTACTTTTAACAATATGTACATAATATATAAACATCTCATGGCATAAATCTTTCATGACATCAAATGGCTTTATAGCATTTCATTAGGCCTATATCTTAGTTTATGTATATAATATGTTATTACTGCAATTTTGGTAGTTTCTAATATTTTTCATTTACTAAATTATCACATTAAATTTTTGTCTACATTCTTAATTATTTCTTTAAAATAAATACATGATCATGAAATTTCTGGTCTGTAAGAATAACTTTTAAAGCTTTTCTTATATGTTATTCAAGGGGCCTTTAATAAGGGTTATTCTAATTTATACATCCACCAGCATTATGAGAATTCTTATTTCACTATCCTTCCTAACTCTATTATCTTTCAGAAGAAAAATCTTTCCAAACTTGAGAGAAAACAATATTTCCTTATTTCATGTTTATTTTTGATTGCTAATAAGGCCAAACATTTAAATATATTTTTTGGCCAGGCCAAATTTATTTTTATGTTGAAATAAGTAAGCCTATATCCTTTTACCTTTTTTATTTTCAGTTGCATCAAATGGTACTTGTGGTTTTTCAATGTTCTCATCCTCTGGGGAAGAATTCCTGCAAACACAATGCCAGACAATGCTGGATGAATGAGGTGAACTAATTTCACAGAAATTATATCTAACACATCCCTACTTCTGTGTGGGCACTGACATTTTGATGAAGACAAAGAAACACTTTCTGGATTTTATCATTCAAAATTGGCAACCTAGCTTCAAAGGAGATGGGTGGAAATCTCCTCATGTTTAATCAGTAGAAGTACATTTGAAGAAAACCAGGGCAATAAGTCACTCTTCAGTCCAAAACAGAAATCTCAGATAGCCTGAGTCCAACACAGTGATTCAAGAATACACATTCTTATTGGAATCTATTTGGCTAATGTTATACAGTTTTGAAGCAGGAAGACTTGGAAACTTCTGAGGCACAGCCTGAGAAGACTGAATCCAAGAAATGTAAGTACACCATGCAAAACACGGCCTGTGTCTTGTCAAGGCTTCTATTTTTCTTCTTCTTCTTCTTCTTTTTTGTTTAAGAAGTATTCTTTTTAATTTTCCTCATCATTATTACTCAATTTTCTATAGGGTACATGCACTCTCCAGAGAGAGACAGAGAGAGAAGGAAAGTGAGAAAGCAAGCCACCAGGTCCAGAATCCCATCTGTGGTTAGCCATGTGGGTGTCCAACGTCCTGACCACTATGCCACCTGCTGGCCCAAGTCTTCCATGCTTTGACCAATAGTTGTGATTGGTAAGCATTAATTATATAAAAAATTATATATAAGTAACTAAATGCTTAGCCAGATTACCCTTTAAATTCCCAAATTTAGAACAAAAACTATCTAAACTGCAGACATAAAATTTTCTGGTCCTGCTGATAAAGAATACCAGGCATGATGGTTCTTAGGTCCTTGCCGTGACTCTCCTGTGCTGTTGTGAGTCTTTGTTTCTACCCCAGCACAATGGAGATAATACTATTTGCCTTACTTCAGAGAACACTATGAGCCTTTGATAAAGTGCTCTGTGTTAACAACTACTATGTAAATATATATGGTCCCAGATAGTGTACCATAAACCACAGTAGAAATGAATAAAGCATATTTATTTTCCTCAAAATATAAACATTGGATAAGAAATTAAGAAGAATCGAAGAACTAAAAAATATTGCTAATGTTATAAGTTGTGGTAATTTTATTGATTTTTATTTTTTTTTTTTGGAGAGATTTTTGCTATGGGACCGTGTGCTCTCTGGAGAAACAGATACAGACAAAGAGATAGAAAGCAGAAAATCACACCCCAGTGCGGATGGCCATGCCACAATCCCTTCTCCTCCATTTTCCTCTCAGGATTTTGGACACACACACACACACACATGCTGGGCATAAGTTTGAAGCCACTGAGTTCGGAACTCAAATCACAGTCAACTACATGGGAGTCCAGCAACATAACCTTTATGCCATCTTTAGATCCCTGAATTTTTTTTCAAAGTCTTTTTTTTAATATATACAATGAAGTAACTAAGGGTGAGAGTAATGATCTCTAGGTCTTATGCTAGAATACTTCTCTCAAGGGAGAAAAAGATAAGGCAAGCGTGTGAAATATGTTTATGAATGTTTAGTTGAGATTCAGGTGGTGCCTAAAAAAGTTATGATCTTCAATTGTAGATTAACTGAATTTTGGAGATGTTACCATTTTAATGAATGAATGTTTTCTTATGTAATTTTGTGAGTAAATTATTTGTTTCAATTCCATGTGGATTTTCATAGGAAACATTTTTTTTTGAGCAAAGCACACATGCAATTTTATTTCCAATAAGGTGAAAATCAGCAAATAGCTCAAGAGCATAGATTTTAAGATTTTCATTCTGTTCAGATGCACGCTAATTCTATTGGGAAGCTTGGATTTTGAACCTCAAGGCCAACATGAAACAGTTATCTACCACTGTGGCTTTTTGGGCTTTATCCCTCCTCACTTTATTACTACAATCAAATGATCTTTATTTAAAAGGGAAGATGGGGACCAGTAGATGGCATAGTGGTTATGTTACTGGACTCCCACATGGCTGACTGCAGTTAAAGTCCTGGACCCAGTGACTTCACAATCACACCAGGCACATGTGCACGTGTGCCCAAGATCCCAGGAAGAGAATGGAGAAGAAGGGATTGCATCAGGGCCATCCACCCTGGGGGGGTGATTTCTCACTTTCTGTCTATCTTTCTCACTGGCAAGCACATGCACCCTAATGCAAAAATCTGTTACAAAAAGAAAAAGTTAAAAAGGAGGTGCAGTTATGAAATCCGCAAGTAGTGGACACATGTATAATTGACTTTTTCTTTAGGAAAAGCTGGAGGTGGCCCTTGTGAAGATAAGGATGATGACGACTCCCCTGTCTGCATAATGTACTGAATAAATGCACTGGACCATGGATACAGAGGCCAAGGCCCTGGTTCCAACTCTATTTCTATTAGCTGTGTGATTTGAGCAAACAACCCATTTTCTTAGCATCTCTGCTTTCTCATCTGGAAAACATGTATAATATGCATCTTCGCAATATAGCATGAATGATAGATAAGTTGTACATATGTATGTAAATATCTGTACAATCACTAGTAAACTTGAAAATAATTAAAACTGAGCATTATTATTTCTGGAAATATTTATTAGTATTATTATTGTTATTTCTGGAACTGTCCCAGAAGCACAATACGAATTGTTTTTTGATAAGTACCTAAATTTTACGTGCTTCAATGTTGGCTTAGATACATCTTTGAAAGAAAGAAAAGCATTGCTCCCAGTACAGAAGCTAAATAACCCTTTGTGTAGCATAAAAGGAAAAGTATACTGATATTTACTACTTACACACACTATGGCATATCGAGCACATGTAAAATGAGTCGTTATGTAACCCTACTGAAATAATACATAGTAAGTAGTATAACCCATATTTCTATATCCAGACAAGGAAACTGAGTCTGACAGGGGTGGAAACCTTTCTGCTTTAATGAATAAAGTTGGGACTTTCGAATACAGGTCCATATGATTTATGAAAAGTTCTGACCCTTTGTAATTCTATTTAGGACTGCCTATTAGCAAATTTCCTTATTGGAAAGGAATATAATCTTCTGAATTTAAAATCAGAGATTGATTAACCTTACACCATATGTGGAGTCTGAGAAAAATTGGCTGGGGAAGAGACTTTCCAAAGCTTGCCTATCTCAAGGGAACTTATGCAAAGTTACAAACAACTGTTAAATAGGCTCCATGGGAAATCAAGTAGTCTGCTCTTCACCCATCTATTCATATAATGATGAACGAGACAATCGTAGATTAGCTGAGTGAGTGAAAGTGCAAACAAAGTGGCTTTGAACTATATTAGTTAAAACCTAATTTTCAAACAAACCCAACCTTCTGCCAAGCCTATAATTCCTACTGAGGAAATAAGGTCAATTTCATAAACATGTAGCCATTAAAGTGGGTTCCGATCCCAGGAATGTATTGAAGATTCTTTAAATAGAACATTATTTGTATTTGTGAATTATAAAATTTTTAAAAAGTTCCTTCCAGAGCTGTTTTCACCATCCCCTGAGGCAGAAGGGAATGAAGTGTAAGTCAAGAGCACTGACGCCATTCTGATGGTGACTGTAAAAGACTTTGCTAATGGCATGGCCATTTAGTCGTTCATCCCTCTAGGAGGCTTAGGTCTACATTTGTTTTCCTGACAGTATTAATGCCAAGACCTCCCCTAGTTCCATCTACATAAAAGAGACATAGATGGGACAGACAGTTGGCATAATGGCTATGTTGTTGGACTCCCATGTAGTCGACTGCGGTTCGAGTCCCAGACCCGGTGGCTTAAACTCATGTCGGGCACGTGAGTGTGTGTGCCCAAGATCCTGAAAGGAGAATGGAGGAGAAGGGATTGTTGGCATGGCCACTCCCCCTGGGGTGATTTCTCACTTTCTGTCTCTCTGTCTCTCTCTGTCATTCTGGTGCATGCACATGCCCTATAGCAAAAACCTCTCCAAAAAAAAAGATAAAAAAAAGAAGGAAAAAAAAAAAGAGACATAGGCAGAACCTTAGGTGTTCCCCCCTTTTCCACTAACTACTGGAGACCTGATGCCTCTTCTGCTCACTCTCATTTTCTAATTACAACTCCTTATTAGGATGAACGTGCAGATGGGAAAGTTACTCCAGATAGTAAACACACCCCTCTGAGGGTCTACCTTCTAAAAAAAATTTTTAAAAATAAAAAGTCCTATTTTTTAACATTCTTAAAAATGATTGTTGCGACATAGAGGAAATAGGAAATAAATTTGGAGAAGTTTTGTCCAGAATAAAGTGACACCTCTGAAATCCTCTAAAGAAATACTCTTCCTGTATCTGACTCCACTCTTGACAGCTGGTTCATAAACAAACCTCCCCTAGTTCTTTCTGTCCGATGCTTCTGCTATTCAGGGATAAATAGATTGAAACTTTTAATTTTAAGGCTTACTTTATAGTGGAATCAAAACTTGTTGGTTCGAAAAACTGTTGGATATATTTTGTTACAGTGTTTGAAGACCACTAGAATCATTATGGTTTCAATTCCTTAAAGACATCTATTTTCCACAGCACGAGTTTTTGGACACATTTCTTTCTGTTGCTTTCTTTAATGCTTTTCGAGAGGCAAAGCCTTTTGAAGTCGATCTTCAGACTAGAGACTTTTCTTGAGTTGCACAATTCAAATTTGTGGCTATCTTACCATTCCAGGGGATGTAGCTGTGTCTTCTTATTCAAGAGCTGAAACTGTTCAAATATATTTAAAAGAGACCAATATTGGGTCAGGACTGAGTCAGGCTTTCTCATAAGATTTCCCATATCATAAAATTCTCGCATCCAAGATTGAATCCTAGGAGCAGTAGATGGAAAGAGCTGGGAAGGAAGAGTCAAACACAAAATATCTGCATAAGTTACAGAAAATAAATTAAAATGTAGTATTACTCTTTTTCTTATCTTTGGATATTTTTATAAAATACAGATTTCTCCTTCTTGCTATAGATATCTGGAAACAGCTAATTACAGAGTAAGTTGGGCAAGAGGAAGAATAAGGGATTCTCTTAGGTTACAAATGGGTTGGGACCAGCAGTTAGCCTAACGGCTCTGTCGCTGAACTCCCATGTAGCTGACCTCGGTCGGAGTCCGGGACCCGGTGGCTTAAACTCACGCAGGGAGCGCGCGTGTGTGTGTGTATGTGTGTGCGTGTGCGTGCCCAAGATCCCGAGAGGAGAATGGAGGAGAAGGGATTGCAGCACAGCATGGCCATCCCCCCTGGGGGGTGATTTCTCACTTCCTATCTCTCTGTCTATGTCTTTCTGGAGAGCGCACGTGCCCTATAGTGTTTCTGGAGATGCCCCAAAAAAAAAACCCCCAAAAAAAAAAAAAAAAAAAAAAAAAAAAAAGAAAGAAAAGAAAAATGGTTACAAGTAACTTGGCCCAGTCCAGGCAGTGCAGTTGTTAGTTAGCGTGTTGGACTGCGATGCTGAAAACAACATGGCTGACTGAGGGCTGGGATCCTTGGGTTAGGGAGAAAACAGAGCAGATGAGCTCAAGAGTGTTTAAGATACGAAGGAACTGGAGGGCTGGAGATAGGGATTGTGATATGACGAGACCCTGTGAAGGGTGTTACTCTCTCACATCTGCTTCTGTCATTAAAAAAATAATAATAATAAAGAAAAATAAAAGAAATATATTTATCTCACACACAGGCAAAACCCCCCATAGATCTCTTTCTACTCTGAGAGTAAGGAAATTTGGATTTTCCCTTTAACCTGCAAAATAATTCTTTAGACAATCCTCACATTGTGCTAAGGGATGTATTCCACATTCACAGTATCTGAAATGATTAATTACTGAAGGGCCGGGTCTCTTTAATTATCTTTCGATAATATTGAACCAAACTGTGATGAATATAATACTTAGTAAATTTAAATTAATTATTACGATAATATACAAAGTATCTATGCAGAAATAACTTACTTTGAAAGCTCCAAATATGGGGCTAAATTATAAGAACAAGTGTCAAATATTCATTAATTAACTAATTGGTTACTCAAACAAATAGCATGCATATTCATTGATTTTTTTAAGTAATAAATGAGTGTAACATCAGCTTAATAATGAATTAGTAAAGGCTTAAAAATGTTTTATATGAACAAATTTTAGGTGGAATAATACAAATTCATTATAGTCTACCTATTCGATATGGTAGACCTAGAAACGAAATAAGTACTGAACATGCACATTCACTTGCAATAAAATGATCTTTTGATGTTGACAAATAAATGAACAGAACCCATTAACATGTATAGAAGAGAAAATAATTGCCTTTTTTAAAGGCCAAAACCAGTAAAAATTATAACTATTTGCATTTTCTTTTTTTTTGGAATTTTCTATAGAGTATAACAAATTAATTTTCTGAAATATATTTGTCATAGTCCATTATATTTTATTTAACACAGAAAGGGTAAAGTAAGCAGAAATAAATGTTGACTGCCCATAAATATACCAAAGCTAAAAGCAAAACGTCTTCAGAAAAGTGTCGACATTTTTCCCTTTGAGAACTGGCAGCTACACTGAGTATTATTCCACCTTTGATAGTAATGTATTGTTTGCAGTCTCTTAAAACATACAGACCTTGCTCATCCAACTATTATAGTTAGATCTATGAAAAGAAGAACCTCACAAAGATTTCTGTTTCTTAAAGAAATATCTTCACTTAATTTAAAATCAAAAGCACATAGCTTACAGCAGATCTACTATAATCCCAGTAATCAAAAAGAATCAAATGTCACTTTTACCAGTTGGAATTGTCCCAGACTCCCAAGTTCCTTTATAAAAGTCATAATTGAGTTAATTTCCTCCAAAGACAGGCATTGGTTTAGTTCCTTTGGATAATTTTCACCCTATATTAGGGGGTAAAACAAGCTTAAACAATTGCTCAAAGTCAAACTATATTTAGTCTAGCTACCTTCCACTGAATACAACAACAATTAAATATTAAACTCAATAAATAAACAGCTAAACTAATTAGTGCTAAATAATGCATAGCAGCTTTAATTTGTCACAATAGTGTCTGAATGTAAGAAAACTTCACATAGATGATAGGAAGGGGTATTCAAAATGTTCATGGAAAACGAATGTTATACGAGCTTGCAGGTGGTATAGTGGTTAAGATGCTGGACTCCATGTGGTCAACCATGGTTCAAGTCCTGGACCAGGTGACTTGAAACTCATGCCAGCTGTATGTGCATGTGTGCACAAAACCCTGAGAGGAGAATGGAGAAGGGACTATGTGTGGCTATCCCCCCTGGAGGGATGATTTTTTTGCTTTCTCTTTCTTGCCCTATAGCAAAACTCTCTCTCTCAAAAAAAAAAAAAAAAAAAAAAAAAAAAGCATTATAAAAAGCTACACACAGATTTTCAAAAATGTTTACACCAAATGAACTTGTTCTTTAATTCCATTTCTCATGAGCTTTTTGCAGTCTCCTCATATAGCTCAACGATGCTTTGGTAGTGAGGTTGGGGAGTTGCAGATGTGTCTAAAAATTAATCAGTGTAATGCTGAAGCACTTCACTCTATTCATCAGCATCTGCTCAAACATGTTAACAAATCTGAATGCTTTACCAAAATAGTGCTATGGGCTTGCCAGTGGCATGGTGGTCAAGGTGGCTAGATCCCACATGGTCAACTGCTTGGTTCTAGTCTCAGACTCAGGGACTCGGAAAACATGCTGGGCCTGTGTGCATGGGTGCCTGAAGTCCCAATAGGATAAGGGGGGGAGAAGGGATGTGGTATGACCATCCCCCACAGGAAGTGCTTTCTCACTTTCTCTCTCAGTCTCTCTACCTGGCGTACACATGCGCCTTCTGGCAAATTTTTTTTTTTCTAAGTAATTTTATAACTCAGGTCCTCTAATGTCAGTCAGAAGCACTCATTGCTATTCTAGATTGCCTCAAACAAGTTCTAACATCCCTTCGAAAGTATTCTATAACAAATAATATGCATTATTTATAAAACCCACAAATGTTCCTTATAAATTATGATTGATTTTACTTCATTTTTAACCCATAATTTCATCATAAGCAGTCACTCACTTAGTTGACATAAATATAATATTGCCCCTCAGGTCAGAAAAAAATAAGAGGTGTACTATAATAGATATCCATTAATTTCAAATGAATTATCAACTTGCTTAACTACACAATTTAAAAAGTGTCATTTTCTAAAGACTGACATCCAAAAATATTTGTCAGCATACAAATATGCACTTACCTTAAATACACCCAATCTATAAAGTCTCTGAAACATCTCATAAAATACAGAAAGTGAAGATTCATTAGAGAAGAGAAAGTTGAAAGTGTCTTTTAAAAGGAATTCTTCTGTACTTTGGTCCTCAAACTCCATATTATCATCACCTTGAACGCTGAAATACTCGTGCACCTTTGAAAGAGTAAGAAAAGCACAGCAAATATTTTTCATTGACTTACTTTTAATACAGCAAGACTGAGATGTGATTTATTTCCTGTTGAATTGCAGATCAGAACTGACATCTAGTGGTCATTTTGGAGGTCAACAGTTTTGTAAATGTGAATACTGTTTTGAAGACAGAATTTTTGAATCCATTGGAGATTTAACTGATGTTTCATAAGATTACATTAGTTTATCATGAGACCCTTAGTTGAAGAATTTTTGTTCATACAAGATAACACATAACACTTTTTTTTTCTGAATAATAACTTCTGTAAAGTACAATATAAACAATTAAATATGTGTGTAAAATAATAAATGACCATTCAAATATGTCTACTCATAAAGCTTCAAAACTTTATGGACAAAATGTCTGAACCACATATTCTGTACTTGGTTTCCCAGTAAAATAGTTTGTAGGTAAATAAATCCTATATAAAGTCAAAATTTGGTTACACCTAGTTTTATTTTGTTCTTTCCTTCTCACTCTATATTCCAAGAAATAACTTTCTATAGACTAATTCAATTAAGTTTTTAATTTTAATTTAATGTATTTATTTTTTGCCATAGGGCACATGTACTCACCAGAGAGAGACAGACAGAGGGAAAGTAAGAAATCACACACTGGGTGAATTACCACGCCACAGTCCCTTCTCCTCCACTCTCCTCTTGAGATGTGGGGCATGCATGCACATGTGCCTGGCATGGATTTTAAGCTTCCAGGTCTGGACTTGAACGTTGGTGGATGGACCATGTGAGAATCTGGTGACTTAACCACCATGCCACCTGCTGGCTCAAATTCAATTAAATTTTAAAAATCTTCTAGTTACTAAAATCTCTTTTAGAACAGAAATATGTTTGGAAAAATGATTTGGATGAGTTTATTTCATTTTAGAGGAAAGAAAAGAATTAGAGTATCCAAAAAAAAAAAAACCCCACTCTTCCACTTACATATATTTATATTACCAGAAAAAAATTAAAAAATTCCCGTGGAATTCTAGATTAAAATATAGGCCAATATTAAACAAACTGTCAATGCCTAAACAAACAGAAAGTGCTACCTTCCTTTCCTTTTTTTTTTTTTTTGAGAGGTTTTTTTTTTTTTTTGCTATAGGGCACGGGGGTCCCCCAGGCACGTGCGTGCCCCAGAAAGACAGAGAGAAATAGAAAGTGAGAAATCAACCCCCAGGGGGGATGGCCACACCGCAATCCCTTCTTCATTCTCCTCTTGGGATCCTGGGCATGCATGCACACGCATCTGACATGAATTTAAGCTACTGGGCCAAGGATTCAAACCATAGTCGACTACATGGGAGTCCAGCGACATAGCCATTACGCCAACTGCTGGTCCCCAGCAAGTGCTACCTTTTCTAATAACTCATGTGAATATACTTGGTAATCTGCTATCGCCAATTTTCTATTGCATCTACTTTTGTCCATAAACACAGACTTGATTTTATACCATATTTATTTCATAAACAGTGATTGAACCATAGATAACTTCATGTCTGTTCTACAGAGACACATAGTGGGAATTAGAAACTCCCAAATTTTACTTCCCCACATACTAATAGTTAATTCACTGAACCAGAGTGAATATTACTTGTAGTCTCTCTGATGCAAATTGCTGCTTTCTGATTGCATACTTCGCATGAAAAGAGGACTCGCACATACAAGCACACCGCACTACACACAGATCCTTCCCCAGGAGGTGGAAGTTCACACCACTCATGAAGCCTTTGGCATACTCACCTGGAGCACCACAGGGTACCTCAAACTGCCATAACCAATATCAAAAGTTAAAAGTTGAAAACAAAATGTGCATCTGAAATGAAAAAAGCAACAAAACTATATTGTCAGGTTTGCTCTACTATTTGGTATCATATGTTAATGATCACTGCAGTGATCAAATCTAAATATTTGAACTAAATAAAAAGAGCAGTGTCTGAGATAATTTAAATTACATATCATTAATTGTAGGACTTGAAATACGCTTTATTTCTTACAGAAAATGCAACTATATCTAAGTATTCCTAGCACCTTCAATTAAACAATAAAGTTATTCCATGAAAACCTAAATATGGAGAAGAAAACATTCCCATTCTTATTGCAAGGTGCTTATTCACACATAAAATATGATGAAGTTTTAATTGAGGCCCCTTCAATTTACTAGATTTAATAGAAACACTAATGATATTCAAGTAAAATGAGATATGGAATAGGAGTTACTGAATGTTGTTAATAAAAGTCTTTCTTCCTCTGCATTATGAAATCAGTGGAATATTTAAGAACAAAATTTATCGTGAATAAGTAAAATTATACCTTGTCAAGTCTAAGTGTATATGACAGAAAAAGCTGAGCTTGAAAGATGACTACAGTTTTTAAATTAATTTTAAAAAATGTGTACTTCACTTCTTGTCTCCACTATTTAAATACCGAGTCTAAAATCTAGTCTGAAGTTTTAGGATCTTTAAAGTAGGCTATATATATATATTTAGAAAACCATATTAATATGCTGACATAAAATTGTCCAAATACCACCTACTTGTGGTAATTAGATATTTTCACTAACAATTCTTAGAAGATAGGCTTTTTTTTTTTTTTGCTATTTGATTAAATTAAAATTTGTTTTACCTGTTGAAAGTCTTTGCTCCCAGAGTAGATGTCTCACTGACCACTTCAGCAGCTAGCAGGAGTTTGCTAATTGCTTCCTTCATGTTATCGAAGGCCTGAAGAGGTGAACTGGCCCTCAGGAATGTCTCAAAAAATGTTTGCAGCTATGAACAAAGTAAAGGATTTATACGGTGAAACAACACTTTCAGTTTTTCTATTATTTTCAAGGTGATTGACGTGCCGTACTGCTTCAGGTTATCTCTGCTTGTGACACTCAAAAGAAACTCCTTAAACAGGATGGTTTGATATTAAAAAATTGCTTAAATAGGAAGATTTGATATCAAGAACTCCTTAAATAGGAAGGTTGATATAAAAACATTATATATAATCTATATATAATCTATAATTACATATAATCTAAGAAATTTCATGTATGTGTATGTATGTATATACACACATATTTATATAGAGTCATTGAAAAAGTCATGATGCATTTTTGCATGGAAAAACATAAAAAAAACACAGCATGACTTTTCTGATGACCCAACACATAAAAACTCTTTAGATAAGGAAAGTTTGATCATCTAAGACATGGATACACATATATATGATAATCTATCTATCTCTCTCTCTACATACAAGCACATACATCCTGAAAAAGAACCAGTTAAATATTTTGAAACTAAAACTTATTAGAGATGCTTACTCCATTTTATTTTTCTCGTAATCATGGAACGTGCCGTGAAACTGTAACAAGACCTGTGATCAGAACTCCCAAGTCGTATTTGTGACTATATTAACTTGGTGATCTTGAACTTGCCACTGACTTTTCAGAATCTTCCTGTCCTTCTTTTTAAAAAAATGTGGTTAATACTTTCCAAGCAGAAAGTTGTGAAGCCAAATGAGAGAAAAATGCATTTGAAAGCCACTACAAAGTATAAAATTTGAATCTCAGTGTTTTATGATTAGTTTTCTGTATATATTAAAACAAACTCTACTGAAGTTGTTCCTTCCTCATTCCATTTTTCTATGGGAGACTGAACCAAGGACAGGAATCTAAGAATTGCAGTGTTTGGTTAATGGAATTTAAGATTTCATGTGGATGGAGAGGATGGCACAATGTTACAAAAGAGGGTGGGGTGAAGTTTAGGTTTGTCTTCTTAGAAACACTATCGCTTTGTAAATAGCTGTTTTTACTTACTAAACTGGTAAGACCATCACAAAGCAAAATTACCTTTGGAGGATGCTTACCATCAGAGATCAAGGCAATATTTTTTAGAAGTGTAAACCAAACCTCATATTGATTCATAGACTTCCTTTGGATAAACATGCTCCTTCAAAGATAAAGAACAAAAAATATTTTTTGAAAAAACATGCTTTTGGAAGAACTGACTATATCTCTCTGAACCGCGTAAGACTGCAAAGTGAAAAACTTTCCCCACCATGATAATAAAGGACAAATATTGGCATGAAATGCCTGAGGAAAACAATAATTGTATCTTTAAAATGCATAAGCAAAATTCCCCCAAGATAAACAAATACTGACTTCATAAATTTGTACCAGCTAAAAACCAGAAACTAATGAGATTACACATTAAGAGCCTAAGAACACATCATTGGCTTTTGGCATTTGGGATGTTTTCCCACTTCGCTAAGGAAAAAAGAATATAGTCAAAAATAGCAAAAACCTCTCCAAAAAAAAAAAAAAAGAGAAAGAAATTAATGCTAACCCTGGAAATGCTAACATTCTTGAGTTAAAATAGAGTATCATGAGGTTTTTTCCAATTAAGAGTAACCCATCATGTTTCACTCAGTTGACTGTATTATGTAGAAAGGATTATGAATGATATTGTATGTTCCCATGTTATTGTTCCCTGAACATTGCAGAGGTTAGTGTTCATACTATATGAAAGTTGAAGATGTCAATGTAGCATACAACATATAGAAGCTTGATTATCAGACTGTATCCTCCATGGGGAAGAATAATCGGCAAATTAATGTCTTAGGCATGTATTTATTCTTCTAATGTGGAAATGATTATATCTTAATTCCTGAGCATTAAGTGTGGGGTGCCTTGCCATTCGACTTTGACAATTCTCCCACATGGATAGCACTGTGATATGTGCTTTGGGAGACAAGTTGCACAGCATGGTGGTAACCCTATGGACCCCAGAGGCAAGTCCCAGCTTTAACTTGAGTTCAATTACAAAGGTGTGAGACCTTTGGGAATTACAACACTACCTACCTTACAGAGGTATTGCTAGGTTTAAATGAGACACTATACATACGTACTACTGCCTAGGACATCAGTATGCGGAACATGTTAGCTCCTTTAATATTTTTATTAATCAAAACAAATCTTAGGAACTTGAAATTGCTCTAAAGAAAATGAAGTATTAAACAAGATAAGGAAGACAAGGCCATTGCCATGTAAAGGAAATTTCAGTGAAAGTAGTTGTTAAACCCACATTCTCAAAATGCAATGCAGAGACCAGCAGTTGGCATAATGGCTATGTCGCTGGACTCCCATGTAGTTGACCATGGTTCAAGTCCTGGACTCGGTGACCTGAACTCACAGCGGGTGCCTTCTCCAATAAGAGAAGGGATTGCGGTGTGGCCATCCCCTATAGGGGGAGATTTCTTGCTTTCTGTCTCTGTCTCCTGTCTCTCTGTTTTTCTGGTGAGTGCTCGCACCCTATAGCAAAAATCTCTCAAATAAACCAAAATTAAACAAACAAAAACAAACAAACAAACAAAAATGCAATGCATATTTTGTGACATCAACCAAGGAAGAACATTTTAAAGATATATTTTAGTATCACATATCTCATGTATGCTTTGAAAAACCGTATTGTCTGCCATGAAGATATATAACAGCTAGATGTAAATAATAAATTATAAATTTTATATCTATTCATTTATTTTAGGAGTCACAATGCACCCGGTGACAATGCAATCTCGAACCCCATGGAAAAAGTCATGGGTTTACATCCCAGGAAACCCCTGAATATGCTGAGTGCTTCTTTGTACCCATAACTGGGCCAGCTGTGAGAGGGGGCTGGCAGGTGGCATGGTGGTTAAGGGGACTGGACAACCACATGGCTGACCATGGTTCGAGTCCTTGATCTGGTGGCTTGCATTCTCATTTGGTCTCTCTCTCTCTCTCTGTCCATCTCTGGTCAAATTAAAATAAATAAAGTTATATAAAATAATTATAAAAAAATCACAGTATGAACATCTTGTTGAGAATCTCTCTTGGTCTCATTGAAGAAATAAATAAAAATTTTAAATGTAATATAAGCCTTTCAGTCAAAATGTTTTAAAAAGAGAAAATAATGAAGTATGATGGTTGACAGGACCCCTCCAGTGATCTGTCTCCCAATAGAAATCAGGAAGGAGAACTGAAGGACCCCAATAACTGACTTTTCTCCCATTTCTCTAAGAACTCAGCCTGCTGAGAGAAAAATTAACATCAATCAACAGTCCTGAAAGCTGAAGAATTAGAACACCACTGCCTTTTTAACTAAAAATGTGAACACAGCAGTGAGGAAATGATACTGTAAAAGCAGGAATTAAAAAGGAGCTACTTCTCTTATGCTTATATTAGTTCTGCTTCCAGTCTTGTCTTCGTATGCACTTCTCCTCCGCTGCATGCATTTCAATTTACTTAAGCCCTCTGATTCAAAGAACACTCTAGATGAGTGTGACCTCTTCTATTTAAAACAGTTAGTACAAGAGAAGCAAATTACGTATATCAAAAAGGAAAGTAGAGGCGTATAAGTTCCTAACATGTAGTTATTAAAAAATCAACTTTCACCAGCTAAGTCTTCCAAAGAAGGCAAAACACTTCCATCAGTTCTTGTAACTAATGCTCTTAGACTATGTAGAAAACTTTTCTGAGTGTTTGGTTATATTTCAGTTTGTTACTTTTAACTATATTTCCTTTTAAAATTACTTGGGTTCCATGCACCTCAGTGTGCTTAGATGTACAGTGACAGAACTGTGCTCCACAGCCTCATCAATGTCAGACTTGCAATTCTTTGATACTGATTCTATTCAACAGCCATCAAAACCTAAAAAATGCATTTCACCCAGAAGCTTTCTTAGCTGAAGCTCCAATACCCAAAGGTACATCTTCACTATCATTGCTAATTTAAAATGATCAAGCCATGAACTTAAATATCAAGATTTCTACCTCCACAATGTGTTTTGTTTCTGTTGTAAGAATTATTTACTTAACTTTATTTATTATTCTTATATTTAAAAAAATTTCTAATAGGGCAAGATAAAAAATTATAATCATATCAATCAATGCAGAAAAAGCATTTGATAAAGTACAACATCCCTTCATGATTAAGACTCAGCAGAGTCAGCAGAGAAAGGACATTCCTCAACACAATAAAAGCCTTCTATGAAAAACCTATTGCTAAAATTACGCTGAGTAGGGAAAAGCTGAAACTTTTAAAACTGGAACAAGACAAAGCTGCCCACTTTCCCCACTCTTTTTAAGATAGTTCTGGGAGACCAGCAGATGGCATAATGGTTATGTTGCTGGACTCCCACATAGTTGACTATAGTTCAAGTCCTGGACCTGGTGGCTTAAAACTCATGCCAGGAGCAATTGTGTGTGTGCCCAAAATCCCAAGAAGAGAATGGAAGAGAAAGGATTGCAGCATGACCTTCCTTCTTGAAGGGTGATTTCTCATTTTCTGTCTCTCTCTTTCTCTGTCTCTCTAGTGAGTGCATGCATCTTACAGTAAAATTTACTCTCAAAAAACAAACAAATAAGCAAACAAAAATCAGTACTGGAAGTTTTAGTCAAAAACTCCTGGAAGTGATAAATGAATATATAAAGTGGCAGGATCCAAATTTGACATACAAAAATCTACAGCATTTTTATACACCAACAATGGACAAACAGACAGAAATGAAGAAGCAAATCCCATTTATAATAGCCACAAAACCAATAAGATAGCTAGAAATAAACTTTACCAAAGATTTTAAAGATCTCTACAAGGAAAACTATGAAACACTAGAAAAGGAAATTCAAAATGATGCAAAAAAAGTGGAAAGCCATCCCATGTTCCTGGATTGGAAGAATTAATGTAATCAAGATATTAATCCTACCCAATTAATCTACAAATTTAATGCAATACCAATCAAA